TTCAATTTCGGATTTATTTATTTAATAATAGTAAAATAATTCCGAAATTGAAATTTTAATTAATATTTCGTTTAACAATAATTTTTGTGACATTTTTGAAAATTAAAGAAAATTAATTATAAAAGATGCATTTTTTCTGGCGTTCAGGGCTATTCTACGAATTCGTAAATATGCCCATTGTTATTTTTTCGTCGTGCTGCCCCAGTTTAAAAAAAATAAGTTTCTACGATGAATAGAAGCCGATATATTGCAAAATTTACAGCGCGCACCTATTTGAATTTTGGATTTAACTTTTCTCGCCCGCGCGACCGCTTGGACGAGCTTCCTCCACCACCACGCCGCCGGCCGCCGGACAGTTTACTTAAGGGGCCCATACACGAGCGGGATTTCCTCAAGGTTTGGCCTGAACAGGCCAGGCCTTGAGGAATTCCTCAACGTTTGTGGTGGTTTCCTTGAGGCCACAGGTGATGGGAGAGGCCAAAAAATCCCGAACAAAATTCAATTCCTTTTTGGCCTTCAGGTCGGATTTTCCTTAACGTGTGTGGTTGACATTCAGTTTGCCTTAAGGTTTTCATGTAGTCAGTACTCAGATACATCATGTCTCGGAAATTTTTTACAGAATTCATAGAAATCTACGAGAGTGAACCGTGTTTGTGGCAGGTAAGTTGCAGAGAATACCATGACCGAAATAAAAAGGATTCGGCATATAAAAAATTGTTACACGTTTCTTTTTAAGAGCCACTTCTTGCACCATAAATTTCATTTGCGCTTTTTCTTGCGAATGCAGCTCAATGCAACTACACAACCAACAGTCGCTAAAATATTATCATCCATCATTGACGCGTATATGCGAAACCACGAGAAACAGAACTGACTACTGTGTTGTTCGCCTCGAGAAAATTCCCAAATCGATTTCCTGAAGGATATCTTTCAGGAAATCCTCTCTGTGTGTAGACAACGCTTCGGCTGAGGAAATCCTCAAGGAAATCCCGGAGGCTTTTTCCTTGAAGATTTCTTGTATGTGTATGGCTACCTTTAGCCAGTACCTTCTCTTTAAAGGGCTCGTGAGTCGTTAATTTTCCATATTTTTCAATGCAATTCACGGGAAATCGTAGTTTACGTCGTAAACTTTATTTTGCGAAAAATTCAAGTCATTTATAAACAATTGCGCTACGATTTTTTAAAGAAAACGAGAGATGTCTTGTATTATGTTCCTTTAGACAATTTTATAATAATCTCGCGGATAGGACTTTTTTCGAGTAAAAATTTAATTTGCTTGGTCTATCTGCTACGTATACAGTAGTGTAATACATAATATGTACAAATTCTACAGATTTTCTAATCCCGCTTGTAACCTCCTTATCACTTTAACTCTTGCACTAAAATAAAAATTGTATAGATCAGTTTCATAAAATTTTCGCGCAATTTCAGTACTACTTATTGTTAGAGTTGTCTAGTGTGCGAGAAACAAATGAATGTTCCTTTCGAAGATGCAAATCGAACTCAAATTTTTTTAATAGAACACCCTGTATATTTTTACATACATAGATGGAAATATTTCTTAAAATTATATACCTAGTGGTATAAAATTTACCATTTCTCTTACAATAATCTACATATATTTCATATCACAGAAGAAATCAATCTAAATATAAATTATAATGAATTACTTACATACAAATATACAATTGAAGGTTTTAATAATGTTTTTTGTGTGGTTCAGGGATATGCAGTTTAGGTGGATTTTATTTTATTTTTTTTTTTCAAAAAAAATTAATAAAGATACTAAAAGTTGTATTTTTACGTGCTTAATTAAAAAAAAATACAAAAAGTCAGTGGCGTACATTTTTTTGTCAAAAATATTCGTTAAGGTACCGCTCAGGACGCCACTGGACATAACAGATCTAATCAAGTTAGGGTTAAATTAGCCCATTAACACTACAAGTAACACTGCGAAATTACAACAAAATTGGGTAAAGAGTATTTAAGATATTTACGAAACAGCAATTTTTATTACAAAAGTTTAACACTGAGTATCTTGAAAACGAAGCATCCGCGGACCAATGTTTATATGAATTTTTTGTCTTAAAATCACTTAAATAATCGTCTGTTGAATTTATTGTACATACTTAATTAACACCCTGTATAAGTTCGTACAATTCGTATTCACACTAATATTCGTGTAATTTAACAAATTAAATTACAAGTACGAGTATAACTTATTTAAAATCCAATCAAGATTGTAAAATAAAGCCAACGCTCAAAATTCATTTACAGGACTTCGACGTAATGAACTGCGGCAGAATTACTGTGTCTCAGTTCCACAGAGGCTTAGATGCATTACTTCTTAGCGGAAGACAAAGGCTTTTTATATCCTTACCAGAAGTCCAAACAGTTATTAACCAATATAAGGATCCATCGGACCCTACAACAGTGTGTTGGAAAACGTTTGAGGATGATGTTGATCACGTGTTTACAACAAAGGTATGTGAAAGTTAAATATTGGATAATAAACGAAAAGTAATGAACAATAAAACAAATACAAATATATTTATTGTGCAAAGGTTTTACAGTAATTAATTAAATAATTAATTAATTAATTGCGTTACAGTACCTAATTAAAATACATTTGTTGTTATTGTTAGACTAGCTATATGGAAAAGTAGGTACTATATTAGTCACAGATAACTGATATTTAAGCCTAGCCTAATTCAGTATTAAATAATTTAGTAAATGCATTTTAGTGGAGTTAAGTATTATTTTCCATCCTTATAAGGAATAATTTCTTTTTAATTACTTGGGATTACACCGAAACCTTACTCAATAGAACTTCAAAATTTGTTGTTTGTTATAATACACCAAATTAATATATTTAAATAGTGTCCCAGAAATAAATGTTATAATTTTAACCAGGCATTCAAAACATTAAAAATAAGTTCATGTATAAAAAAAAATTAAAAACAAGCTTTTAGTGCCACCATGCATTGTCATCCAAATTAAACGTGTATGCAAACTTTCAGCTCAATCGGTTGAGGATAACTGTTTTAAAATTCAGTTGCAAGTTTTGACCCATCATACTAACATGGCAAGTTAAAAAAAATCTTGTAATAATAATTTTTGTATAATATTTTTTCCGAAAACCTCTTAGTTTTTAAGATAACAATTTTTTAAATTTAAATGTTTGTTACCTGTCACTGGAGCATATGTCAAAACGTCTTGGGTTAATAATAAATAAAAGCAAAAAAAATAAAATTTTCAGTGCTATTGTATTTCTTTAATCCATACAGCTCATTAGCGTTAAAAAAATTATTAGACCTAAGTTGTTGCTTTTTTGATGAGTTAAATATGTGGTTATAATTTTGGAACTTATTTATTACTCGGGCATCCTGTACCTCATAATGTCGATGGACCTTAGCTAATTAAAATGTAAAATTTTAGGTAAAATTAAGAAAGCATATTAAATTTAATATTTTAGGGAAGCCATAACAAAAAATTCGTCACTGCCTACATACAGTGTGGATACAAATTGTGGAATATTGCTTATATTTCTTAAAATATTCGTCATATCAAAAACATGTTTTAATAAAAGTGTTAGGGGAAATTATTTCCCGTTTAGTGATATCAAGCAATCTTTCGTAGCACAAAAAATGTGGTTGCCAAGGTAACCGACTTAATTTTTTTAAACGGCACCATATACTTTTTTTGGTNTTCTGATGTAACCCCATTAAAATTGTATTGTATCGTATTTAGAAAGGTCCAATGTATTAATTTTCACCAAAAAAAGTATATGGTGCCGTTTAAAAAAATTAAGTCAGTTACCTTGGCAACCACATTTTTTGTGCTACGAAAAATTGCTTAATATCACTAAACGGGAAATAATTTCCCCTGACACTTTTATTAAAACATGTTTTTGATATGACGAATATTTTAAGAAATATAAGCAATATTCCACAATTTGTATCCACACTGTATAGTATTGATAATTGTACATTTAGGTTTTACTAAAATGCATCTTTTAATTCTGGTAGTAAAGCCAGCCACAGCCTCCTACATCTTAGGATGCTGTGGTAAACCTAACAGTCACCCCAATAATTGTTGGAGGATAGTGTGGCTGTGGTTACATAAAGAGTAGTTCACTTTAGAATGCTCGCCATGATAATTTAGGAAAGGTAAGAGGTGCAAATTTTATTAAATTAAAAAAAAAGTTGCGTAACGATGAATGGTCTTGAATTATAACTTTAATTTTCTTGTAATTCATAGATCACCAGACGTCATTCCTTTATAAATATTAGACACTTTAACTTTTCAAGTTTTATATAATTTAACATCCTGGCCATGGTTCAACAAAGAACTATCCCAAAAATGTAAAATACTAAAACAATAAATGTAAATAGGTACCTCTTAGTTTCCGAGATTTCATTATAAGCATCCCTAAATCAAGGAACAAAATAACTGAAACTATAAAATTATGCGGTATACTACTTTTTATTTCTAGAATAAAAGTTCCATATACTACTATATGCGATTCATATACAGCGTGTCGGCTAAGAAATGCGCCAAACTTCACCACTAGATTCTGCAATGAGAATTAAAATATGCAGTTCATATAAAAATTTATTTGGTCTTACTAGTAGTAAGGAAGATATAGTCACACATATGAGATATTTGCCTTACCATTAGAGGTAAATACCAATCAAATCTTGTACCGTTGTCCTGAAAAATCGTTATTTTCAAATATCGAATAATATACAGTGTTACGCGTACTTGTTACCCTTTTGAAAATATCCTGTACAAAATTATCATGATAATAGGCATGACGACAGATTTTGAAAAACTATTCTATGATATTCGGAAATATTTACTATTTCCAAAAAAAATCTTATTTCTATAGAAAATAAAAGGTGTAATACGAAAATATTAACATTTTAATTTAAAGTTTAAACTCACTCAAAAACGGTCGCCGGTGTCATGGCGTCTACGTGACGTCAAATCTATATTTGTCAACAATAAACATAAAGGTGCTAATATTTTGTGTTGCAAAATTCATTAATTAAATAAAAATACAAAGTTACCATAATAGTATATGCATTTTATTTACCCTCAAATTGTACTTTAGTATAATAATGGATAGACATTATCTTTTCATTAAGAGACAAAAACATTAAGGAAATCTGATACATACATAGTTGTCAACAAACGAATATTAATAATTTCTACATTTTTATTTGTACCTAGTGTAGTTGCAATCAGCTACACCGAAATACCCTTTTGAAGTCCTATTAAATACATTTGTAACTGCCACCTGCACATAAAACTTCTGGGTCGGTTTTCCTTTTTCCACATATTTTTTAAGTCTTGATTCGTGGTACACTTAATTTCAATAATACTGTCCTCACAGATTCCATCGGGCTATCCTGCTATAATGGGATAGTTTTTGCAAAGCATTACAGGTACCTCATTTTTTAAAAAAAAAAATTCCCGGGTCTGGTACTTACAATTTTCCTCACTTCATCCTCCAACATTCTATCGCGTTTCATTGCCGATGCGTCTGAGATTTTTTCTCCCATTATTAACGTGATCAGAGTTGCATCATTGGATTTGCACTAGTGATGGGAGATTTCGAGTGAAAAATCGAGTGGTACTCGATTATTGAGATCACTCGAGATATCTCGAGATGTTTACTCCCACCACTCGAGTGATTATTACCCTACGGTTGCACCATACTGCAAATAGTCACTGATTGCGTAACCGTTTTTTTAGAATAAAACGAAAAAGTGGTTAGGTTTTGAAGTGCGTGAGCTTTTTTTTTTTTTTTTTCTACGCTTATAAGTAATATATGACTAATACAAACATATTTGTGCGCCGCTGGGATGAAAACGACCAATATCTCGTATCTCGAGTGATCACTCGATTATTAGAAGTACTCGATTACCGATAACTCGATTATCAAAATTGGTCGATTATGCCCATCACTAATTTGCACTGACTAAATTCAAACGCTCGTGAGGCTGTCACTCTGCCATATCTTAACTCATGTCAAACACAGCTTTGATGTTAGTCTCGTCTCTTCTTCAACTTTCATGTCATCTTCATCAGTCAATACGAATTTTTTCAAAAATGTGTCGCAGGACGACTGTTCTTTATATTTCAGCACCAATTTATGCATGGATAAACTTTTAATCACAAACATAATCTTTTTGACATATCATTAACTCGCAGGTGTTGAACTTTCTTTTCTTTCCTTCTTCTAGAAACTTTTCAAGTACTTAACGTTTCCTGATTATGGTTTTAGTAATACAAAACCAAGCAACTGATAGTTGGGAAACACAAAATATTTAAACGAATATAAATACTGCGAATATTGTCGAAATACAAATGAAACAAAATGACATTTACATAGATGTGACGTAATTCACTCTGATTGGTGTTCAACCTATCATGGCGGTTTGCTATCTTTTGTAGATTTATTTTATCAAACATATTATCAATTTTGCTTATAATATAAAAATAAATACGTTTTTTATAATTCATGAATCATATTTCATTAGATAAATATATAATTTTAGCGATTCTTGGTTACTGTCATCATGCCTATTCTAATTATCATGACAATTCTAATTGATAGCTAATCTTAAAAGCTAGAAAGCAATAAAGAAATGGTGTGACATTTATAGCCAATTATAATACATTGTTTAGCACTGAATGAAAATTATGTAGGACTTTATGGATATGAAACAAGATAACATGATTTAGAGTAAAATGCCTGCTAACTGTTAATACGACAGTTTTTTATTTTAAAATAAAGAAAGGTAAAAAGGTAAGAAGGTAAGAAGGCAAGAAGGTAAAAAGGTAAGAAGGTAAGAAGGTAGGAAGGTAAGAAAGTAAGAACGTAAGAAGGTAAGATGGTAAGAAGGTAAAAAGGTAAGAAGGCGAACAGACAAAAAGGTAAAAAGGTAAAAGGGTAAAAGAGTGAAGGAGGGAAAGGATAAGACGGCAAAAAGGTAAAAAGTAAAAAAGTATAAAGGTAAAAAGGTTAAAAGTAAAAAGGTAAGAAGAGAAAAGAGTAAAAGGGTAAAAAGGTAGGATGAGAAGGTAAGAAGGTAAAAAGGTAAAAAAGCAAAAAATTCAGACGGTAAAAAAGGTGAAAAGGTAAAAGGTATAAGATGATGAGGTAAGAAGATAAGAAGGCAATGTGGCAAGAATGTAAAAAAGTAAAAAAGTAAAGAGTAAAATGTAAAAAAGTAGAAAGGTAAAAAGGTACAAAGGTTTAAGTCTAGGGAGATTTCCAAGATCTGACACACACTATGTTTAATTTATTTGAGGCAAAAAGACAAGAAGGCGAGAAGGTAAGAAGGCAAGACGGTAAAAAGTAAAGAGTAAAAGATAAAAAGGTACGTAAAGGTAAGTTAAAACAGTAAAAGGCAAAAAGGCAAAAAAATAAAAAAATGAGATTTCCAAGATATGACAAAACCTATGTTTAATTTATTTAACTTCAACACTGTGTATCTTGGAAATGAAGCGTCTATCAATAAATTTTTATATGAACTATTCTTATTAATTTAGATCGTGGACTCTATGGTACAATTTGGTCGATTTTTTAATATACCTACACTCTCTGTATGTATTTTGTTAAGGACAGTTATATCTTTTGCTTAACATATCATATAGGTACCTACATAAGTTTATTAAATTCTGTTTTCCACTTTGCCTCAACTTAACTTTTTTTGCATAAAAATATGTATATATTTATGTGGTTTACTTGGGTTAACCCTCTGTTGTGTGTACCTATTTATCTATTAACTTGTTTTGATGTAAATTTTATTATCTTAATCTTCGGTTATTGTTGTACATACATGAATTATTATCAATGTTAGATTAAACTTAATCATTTATATTTAGGTAAATAATAAAACCAGTGAAATTTCGCCTTGGTGGTTTATTTTTATCTAAACACTTCAATTCTTAAAAAAATATTAAGATGTACCTAAGCATTTTCAATAATTATGGAATTAAAGTGTCATATTTTACATGACAATATTTTGAGATAAAATGCACATTTTAATTTAGGAAAGTATTTTACACTATTAGAAAAATGATGTCCCGGATTATCCCTAAGGTAACATAAATATAATTTTATTTAAAATAATTCTTTATTATTTTACAGTTGTTAGATAGTTCATGAGAACTAGTGTCATGTTTATTGGTAAAATGTATTAAATTGTTACCTACTTTTTATGAGGGTGACTACCTGCGAGCAGGTAGTAGGTATACCATTCTGTTGATACGGAACAATTTGAAAATTTGTTGATCCCAATTTTATAGTCTTATTTGAAAAGAACTTCAAATTCTTTTATTTACCTAGGTAAATTCTGGTAAATTATCATTTTGAGTGAAATTATATTAATTAATATTTTTTGCAACATAACTACTAACTTAACTAAAATTAAAACGAACAAAAATTTTGAAATATTTTAAAATAACATTGATTTTGTTCTACGATATCAATGCTGTATAACTTGTTAGGGTCTAGAGAAAGCTCCAAGTTTAAGAATAGATCCACCACCTATGGAAATTCGAGAGTTACCTAGACTAGGAGGAAAACATTGGCAGACTGTGAATCCTTCTATGCGATCCTTGTGCGAAGAAGCTGTAGACAAAGTCAAACAAAAAATAATACACAGGAGGATATTACTAAAACCAGTATTCAAAGACTTTGATAAGTAAGACATTTTGACCACGTGTATATTTTTAAAAGAAGTTTCAAAATAGCTTTAACAAATGTTATGATACTCAGTGCTCACCCCTTAGGAGATACAGCCTCTCAAAATTAGTAAATTAATATGGAATATAGCCCTTGTAATTTGAAAACCAAAGCTATAACAGTCAAATTTTACAAAATTTTCTACTAATGCATGTGCAAATTCTCAACAATTTTGGGAGTTGAAATATGAATTCCCCAAGTTATTTTTTGCTACAACCTTTTTGTTTGACAAACATTGATTATTTAAAAATACGTGTCAGATAGCCTGGTTTATTACAAAACGTTTAGCTCGCTCACTCTTTTACTACTAACAGTTTATTAACAAAAAAATTAATGCATTATCATTCGAATTACAACTCGCACGATTACACCTAAGATATATTTAATTAATTTACTAGATCTTTTGCAACTTTTGCGAGTGTTTCCTTGTGCAGTCCGACCCTGGCCCATGTTCTTTGCCGGCGCGTGATATCACCTTGCATCCTTAACAATAACCGTCGTTGTTCTATAAAGTTTATATAAGAAAATGTAGAATTAGCAAGGCATCAGATATCGAATATGGCCATTACTATTGTCATTCTCTGTGTCTAGAGGTCCAGTTAAGGAGAATAAATAGTTTTTCCCTAACTACATTGTTTTTACTTCTGTGCGTCCCCGCACAGACTACATCAGAAGTGGTTGAATAGAAAAGTGAGTGTTAAAAAAAAAACTAAAAGTTTGAAGTGTCTCGTGCCGTTTTCCAATATGGGACGTCACAAAAAGAAGAGCAAAAGGCAACGGTCACCCTCGTCGTCCTCATCAACCTCAAGTGAAGACGACTATCGCGGTCAGCGTAACTATAAACAGCAAAAGAAAAAATCAAAATCCAGATCAAATGTAAGTCACACACCTCCTATAATACAGCCGCATAGTGCACAGTCCTCGCAATTTATAGCCGTTTCAAATATAATACCGGATTTTGATCCTAAATTCAGAGATATTAACGATTGGATTGAAATAATTCAGTTCAATGCCATTAGTTATCATTGGTCTGATACTACAATTATATTTCAAGCTCTAAGCAAATTAAAAGGAACCGCAAAAACGTGGTATGATGGGTTCATAGAGAGCGAATTGGGGTGGTCACGCTTTACTTGGGCAGAATGGAAAGATGTTTTAATATCAACTTTTCAATCTAATCGAGATTGTTATAAACTATTGATGGACCTTGTTAACCATAGACCGAACGAAGGCTGTTCACTATATGATTTTTATTTTGAACATTTGTCTAAAATCAATAAACTAAAATTAAATTTCACCGATGTAGACAAAATTTCACTGATTACGGGTGCTATTAATAATAGTGGTATAAGCGCGGCCGTGGAAGCCTCAAATATGACCAATATAAATTCATTAGGTGCATATCTTAAAAATAAAATTCATGTAACCAATTCCAGTTTTCAAAATAAACCAAAAATTGAAAATTTGAAAAATAAACTGAATAATGAAACACCCTCAACAAGTAGCGCTGTCTATTCAGTAAATCGAAATAAACATTGTAAAGCCTGTGGCAAGAGTGGCCACGATCGTTCAGCTTGTAAACATAAAAACCAGGTGTTATTTGCTATTGTTTAAATAAAAAGAAAATTAGTAATATACAATCTCAAAGTAAACAGGAACAAAATAATGTAAAACAAAATCACAATCTTAAAGGTATTAATATTATTAAAAATTCAAATAACACGTCCAAATTTTATAGACATTTTCATTACTGGAAATATGTGCAAAGCATTTATAGATTTTGGCAGGGACTGCTCTCTGATAAAATTATCATTAGCTAAAAAATCAACATTCCTATCTGTAAACTCAAGGAACCCACTGTCTTATCGGGTTTCTTAGGAGTCAGCACCACGGCTGAGTATTATATCACAGCACAAACACAAATCGATGAGGTCACGCTCGAAACGAAGTATTACATAATTGATAATTACGACCTGTGCGGCAATAAAGTATATAAAATCACTCCATTTGGTCGTAGATGGTTGGTTCCAAAAAACTGTCGTTGGCAAATTGTCAAAGCCAATCACGACGACATCGGCCACTTTGGTTTCGACAAAACTCTCCAAAGAATAAAAAAATCAGTGACCAAGGAAACAAATACCTTTTGGTCGTGGTTGACAGATTTTCAAAATACACTCATATCAAACCAGTCACCGATGCATGCTCAAAACATGTGATTGACAAATTAGAGGAAATTTTCTTGATACTTGGAACTACAAAACCCCCTCAATCCCCTCAAAGGAATTCAGGCAGTATTGCGATAACAAAGGCATCAAGCTATTCACGACAGCTGTTGGGTTACCTAGAAGCAACGGCCAAGTGGATCGTATGAATAAGTCCATACTGGATGCTCTATCTACCTCAAGTGATGATGTAAAAAAGACCAATTGGGACAGTAAAGTGCAACAAGTTCAGCAGGGAATAAATGACACGAGGCACCGAATAACTCAACACTCTCCCGCGGAGCTACTCATCGGCTTTCCCCTTAGAACGAATACTGATCTGCACAATATATCTGATGAAGAAATCATAGATGTCACAAAAATTCGAAAGAAAACTGCTCAAAATCTAGAGGAAAACAGGGTTAAACAGGATTCAATGTTCACCGTTTGCCACCGAAGGTGTATTCTGTAGGTGATTTGGTCCTATCAAGAATCACAAGTTTTCCAGCAAATAATGAAAGTAAGAAGTTACTCCCACAGTTTCGAGGATCTTTTAAAGTTATAGAGGTCCTACCTAACGACCGTTATCGCATAAAAGAAGGCATTCACTCGGAACGGTCCAGGAGCCCTCTCAGGCAAAACAGTAGCCCTCTCAGGCAAAATAGCAGCCCTCTCAGGCACAATAGTAGCCCTCTCAGGCACAATAGTAGCCCTCTCAGGCAAAACGGTAGCCCTCTCAGGCAAAATAGCAGCCCTCTCAGGCACAATGGGAGCCCTCTCAGGCAAAACAGTAGCCCTCTCAGGCAAAATAACAGCCCTCTCAGGCACAACAGTAGCCCTCTCAGGCAAAACAGTAGTCCTCTCAGGCAAAATAGCAGCCCTCTCAGGCAAAACAGTAGCTTTCTCAGGCAAAACAGTAGCCATTTCAGGCAAAACAGTAGCCCTCTCAGGCAAAACAGTAGCTCTCTCAGGCAAGATAGTAAGCCTCTCAGGCAAATTAGTAACTCTCTTAAGAAAAATATCAGCCATTTTAGGCAAAACGGTAACCTCTTAACAAAATAGTTCTCTTAGACAAATCAGCAGCTCTCTTAAGTTGCACAGCAGCAAACAACAAATAATCTTGTTTCAGGAACTTTGTGTCTTTCGAGGACGAAAGATATTCAGGATGGCCGTGCAGTCCGACCCTGGCCCATGTTCTTTGCCGGCGCGTGATATCACCTTGCATCCTTACAATAACCGTCGTTGTTCTATAAAGTTTATATAAGAAAATGTAGAATTAGCAAGGCATCAGATATCGAACGTGACCATTACTATTGTCATTCTCTGTGTCTAGAGGTCCAGTTAAGGAGAATAAATAGTTTTTCCCTAACTACATTGTTTTTACTTCTGTGCGTCCCCGCACAGACTACACTTGGATTTGCTACTCAATAATTTTATTTTTTTACGATAACTTGGGTGAAGAATTATGGCAAATAATTTTACTAATGAATATGTTGACATACTGCAAGTATTTTTTGAATGTCGGAAAAGCTATGCCGCAGCAAAAATAATGTACCACCAGAGGCATCCAAATTGCCCAATTCCCCACAGACAGACTTTCTCAACAGTAGCAAGAAGAAACTGGGAAAATATAGCCTGATCGCGAGGAAAATGGCCAAAAATCTTTATTTAAGAAAAATAAATAAATAAAACAAATTTATTGTTAATCATATTTGCTATTTATTACTTATGAAAATATGGAAAAGCAGAGAGAATACCTACTTAAATAATATTTTCAGAATAATTTCCATTTTGTGTGTCCATTGCAGAAATTAGCTTGACAGTCGCGTACTTAAATATTTCTAAATTGCAGTCGTGCGAGTTGTAATGCGAATGATATTGCATTTAATTTTTTTTTTGTTAATAAAGCAGAAACAGTGCGAGAGGTAAAAGTTTTAAAATAAAGCAGGAAAAGTTGCACATACATTAGTAGAAATTTTGTATAAAATTTGTCTGTTATACTTTTTTTGGTTTTCAAATTACAGCCGCTATTCCATATTTTTTTGAGAAACTTTGAGAGGCTCTATCTCCTATGGGGGTGAACATTTTATTAAGGTCATTTTTAAGCAAAGAGTGTTCTTTTCAGCTGTAGATTCACCGGTACCATTTGTGCTTCTTTTGAAAACACTGCACAGAAATATTTTGAAATATACCTTAATTACAACAGAAAATCAAAATTAATATCGAAACCTTAACATTATGTGTTTTTCTTGATATTAACTTTTGACCTACGATTTGATATATCTAGTTAAATTGAAATATGTCATAAATTCAATGTTGCTCTGTGTCCCATTAAATTATGGAACACCATGTAAATTATTAAAAAAAATCTTTCCCAAGGCATAACAATGGTCACGTTAGCAGAAGCCAAATGAGACAAGCGCTTTGTTCAAATGGCATCCTCCTATCTGATGAGGAAGTTGTAGCTTTGGAAGAACGATTTAATAATGATATGGGTTTCAATTATGTTTGGTTCCTAAAAGACGTAGAACCACGTCCTGATGAAGAGCCATTGGTAAGCGTTCAGAATTCCTAGTAAGTATAATTTATTAAATATTTCATTGTTAGTTCACAAATTTCGTCCGTGACATGAAAAGACTCAATAAAGAGCCAGAGAAAATTAAACCAACCAGACAAGAGCAGGATATCGTTCAGGTTATGGCTAAAGTTAAAGGGAAAGTTGTTAGAGAGCGGATCAGAGTATTGGAATTTCTGCGAGACTTTGACAGATGTAACGAACGTGTTATTAGTAGAGAGAACTTTAAAAGAGGTTTGTCAGTATGCAAGCTGGAACTTACTGAAAACGAACTTGAAACTTTAATGGACGTGTAAGTTTACCTTTGCATGAAAATCACTGTAGACCGTACACCATAAATCAAACATCAGCAGAAACAAACGACACTGTATGGCAGATCTAGGAATTAGGTTACAATTTGTGAAAGCTTTGAAATTATAACTCAAATTTAGTAGTACTGGAACGCAAATAACTCATTTTTTCTCTCACTTTTATATCGAGCGATCTAGAATGATTGAAGCTGACGTCGCACGTAAATGTTAAAAGATAACGATAAAGATAAAACTAAAGATATTAAAATTTACTTCCATTTGATCAAAATTATTTTCTGTTTTCTTAGATTTCCGACCGACTCGATCTGTCAATTCAGAGACGTCCGTGATTCCCTTCTGTGATTGCTGTTGTATTTACTTGTGTTCGGCGATTGTGTCTTTTGAATTTACCGTTAATCTTCTAAATAATCAGTGTTTTTCAACGCTAATCATCTGTTAACTGTTAGTTTTGTGGTAAGGAAGTATATACTGATGGTTTCTTCGATATAAAGTACCCGAACTGTTTTAGGTTAGAAAATGGCATTTTCTTTAGAAATCGATAAATTTATTGTAAAGGCCTACTTTCGAAGTGGTGAACGTAATGAAAATGGATGGAATTAATCCATTCATGTTTTTTACAATTCTATGAAGAGTTTCCAGATTATGAAGCTGTAGATTATAACATTTTTGCTCAGTATGTTCAACGTTTGGTGACTCGATTCAGAAATACTGGCAGTTTGTAAAGAGAAATCACCTGAACGAAAGTCAGTTTTAACTGAAGATAAACTGGAGGATGTTAGAAGCAAGCCCTTAGAAGCAAGCTCCACTAAACCTTTACGACAATAACTTTCAGCTCAGGCGGGTAAATATTTATAAAATGTTAAATATCAGTATTTAAAAATATTATTTATAGGAGTGCCATATGGTTCAGTACACAGAGGTGTAAGAAAATTACATTTACATCGAAGTAAAGTTTCCATGGTGCAAGAGTTATTACCATTAGATAACGAAAAAATAGTGAACTATTGTAACTGGTTCAACAACTTAAACGATGGTAATCTTTTAGATATAAGTTTTCTATCGGTGAGGCATGGTTTCATCTTAGTGGATACATAAATTCACAAAATTATCGTACGTGGTCTGCGGAGAATCCACACGTGTTAATGGAAACGACTTTATATCTTGTTAAAATGGGAGTTTGGATAGCCATATCTCAGCGAAGAATAACTGGACCTATTTTCTTTGAAGATAATGTTACTGCTGAACAATATAGACAAAACATTTTGCAGCCATTGTTAAATCATTGATGACGAATTGCACAATGGATATTTTCAACAAGTTGGGACTACAGCACATACAGTTAACACAACATTGGAGTTAATAAGAGAATTTTATGATAATCGTATTATTAGTCGAGGCTTATGGCCTCCAAGATCGTCTGACTTAACGCCCTTAGATTATTAGCTCTTTGGAACAAATATAAATTTACTAATATTAGAGAAAATGAAGAACGAAAGCAAAAATTTTGAACATTCATTATAAATAAATTCTGATTAAAAATATTAAATATCTTTATTCTTCATTCCAATGTTTAAATAATTGTTAGAAATAAATTAATTAATTAATTACAAAAATTATTATTACTGGTAGGGACAGAATTTTGTTCAAAATTAAAAGTACATATTCTATTTTTTTAACGTTAAACCTATAAAGCAATTATTATTTTAAATTTTCTTGTCGGTAACACGTTTTTTATGTTAGAATTTAAGAAATTTTAAATCGATTTTTTATTCGCATTTCTAAATGAGGAAAGTAAACGTAAATTCATTTAAAATTTGTTGCTTTTACTTTCAAGTTGGCATAAAAAAACAAGATAAATAAATAAATAATTGTTAAAAATCGATTCTTATGTCAGTTTTGAGGTTAATAATAATAAAACCTAAACCATTTTTATTTAATGCATTCTTTTAACAAATTAATAAACCCCTCAAATTAATTAATGAAAATATTCTGCTTTTTGTGTTTAAAATTAATATGTGACCCTATTGCCACTGCACTTAACCCGCCACTGAAAGAAGTAAATCACTGTCAGTGTTGTCGACTAAGAAGAGTGAAAATAATAGGAGAGCGGCACACAAAATATTTGTAAGTAGCGGCGCGGCGCCATCAATCATTCTGGATCTTTGGGTAAAATAAAATGCCTGAAATTCAAAATAAAATTTAGAAGGAAAGAATAGATATCTCTGCGTTTTTAAGGTAAATAACTTAATATTTAAAGTACGATAGTTTTTCGAATTCTTATGCCAGTTATAGAATGACCTTTCACATTCTTAGCCTTAGTTAGGAATCTGAGCTGAACTTGTTGTTCTCGGGATAGGTTCTGTGGGCGCAGACCCTCTGTCAAAACTCCTAGACCCACCCTGATGTTCATTTCGGTTCTTGTTGATTCTAGAACCTCCCAGTAACTAAACAATATCTGAAACTTAGTTTATTTAGGCATAAAATTAAGTCTTATTTCTAATTAACTTTATATTTTTTAGTTTTGCCTCTCCACTGAGAAGAGAGTGCGTAGACTACAGAAGATTTTCGGATGTTGTTGAAGAAGCATTTACACAAAAATGTCTTGAGAGAGCACCTCTAATAGTACCTGTTCAACATGTGCCAACAAGGGACTGTGAAAAGAATTTCCTCAATTTCGACGAACGTCAAATTTTATCAGTTGCTTTACAAAAATTAGCTAAAAAACCAGACCTCCAAATGAACCTTTCCTCAGTTTTGCAGGTACGTATTTTTATTAATTATTTAAATATCTTAATTATCTGAATTGTGAAAACCTTATTTAAGACAAAAGGTTTTCAAATAATTGGGAAGTTATCCATTGTTTTCTTCCGCATAAAATTCGTGTGTAATAAAATTTAACAAACCAGATTTATAAATAATAAAACAAAACGTTGTATCTAAAAATAGGCATTGTTGAAAGTTTCCACTTTATATAGCCGTAGGTGTAAACATCTGGAAGATAATTTATCAACTTTTTCGTCTTTCCACCTTATTAAAAGTTACGACCTGAAGGAAAACAAAATAAAGCTCACAAAGCACCTACATTATGCCTTGTTATATATATGTAAATATGTTTATAATGCATTTATACTCAGACCATAAACCTTTAATTGACCTTTGTATGTTTAACAAACAATTCTTTGCAGGACTTCGACAAGACAAACTGCGGCACAGTTTCGACAACGAATTTCCTACAGGCTCTTACGTTGAGGGGAATGAATAACCTAATATCAAGTCAAGAGTTCGATATGATCTGTAAATGCTTCAGTTTTGAGAGGGGGATGAGAAATGAAGTAGATTACAGGGCGTTCATGAAAGCTCTTGATATTTTATATGCCACTGAAAAGTATAATCCATTTTAATAAATGTCTAAATTTGTCTGAAATGTTTTAATTATTTACTACCTACATTGCAAACCGTTGGTAGCAAAAAGACGGAATTGTGACATTTGGGTTATTTTCTTTAATGCAGCTTAATATAAAATTGAAGGTAGATATGGGAAAGACGTATCGAGTGTCCCAAGCAAGATTTGAATTTTGCCATTTGTGCGGTAAAGTGTTGCCAACGAAAAAAAAGTAGTATGACAGCTGACAGCTAAGGGTTATTAAAAATGGAGCGCTACATGAAAGAACAAATATTCATTGTTAAGTAATATTTTAATAGTTTGGCAGCTACAGTTCGCAATTTTCGTACAAAACATGATCGGAATAGTAATTTAATTTCATCAACTGTGAAGAGATTAACTGAGAAATTCAGGAAGACGGATCAATTAGTGATCTTAATCATTCTGGCCGTTCTTCGACAAGTCGTTCAAAACAAAACATCGGAACAGTCCGTAAGAGTGTTGCTGAGAGTCCAGGAACATCAATCCGGCATCGCGGTCAGGAATTGGATATTTTGAGAAACTCTACAGCGTAATCCCACGAATGATTTGCATTTCCATGCTTATAAGAGTTCAATTGACTCGATAACTGAAGCCTACTGATCACGCAGAGCGAAGAGAGTTCATGGATCATTGGATGAATTATGGAACAAGTGGATGCTGATTTTTCGAACAAAATTACCTTCAGCGATGAAGCTCATTTTCATCTTGATGGCTTCGTTAATCGACAAAACTGTCACATTTAGGGTTCAGAAAATCCACGAGCCACAAAACATATAATACAAGAAGGTCATTTTCATAATACCAAAATCGAAACACCACTGACATTAAAGGACAACAACTGGCTCCCTCACTATGTCTGGCCACCCAAAAAAATGGAACTAAAGATAGCCGAGACGATAATGATGATTACTTTATAATCTACCGCAGGTAAAACAGATGCCAATTTGCGCGGGCTTTTGAAAATACATTCTAAGGGTCATATATGACACTATACTAAAATTAGAACTAATTTCAGTAATTAATTAAGAATTTTTTAATCTGGCATAGTATCATACACAAATTGCAATAAAAATGTAGCAGTTTCTGTATGATACTATGCAAGATTAAAAAGTTCTTACTTAATTACTGAAATTAGTTATAATATTAGCATAGTGTCATACGACCCCAATACTACTTCCTTTTAATATTTAAAAATATATACGATATAACGATTTATAATGGTAAAATCGTATTTTACTCGTTTAAATAGACTTAAAAAAGAAACTGCAAAATTTATAAAACAGTATTTATTAGCAATTTTAATGTGGTTATTAATGTTATAAAGATTGATAATTCCCCTCGATTCCAAATCATTGAGGCCAATTTCTAGCCATGGAATAATGGCGCGGTTATTAATGTTGCATACAAACAAACAATTCTATTCATAAACTTTATATTTTCCAACGACCTCGTCATTCTGAGGTCTTTGATATTTTCTGTTAAACCTGTTTTCTAAACACACAAACAAAATGGAAAGTTGACGGATAAAAAACAATCTTTTAACAATATGAATGTTTAGACATCATAAATAAATAATAAATATTTTTATTTTGTGTGTAAACAAACATAACACTTTTCTCTATATTTAATAGGAAAACTTGCTCAATTTAATATTTACTTACCTTTTTGCCAAAACTTCCAATATTTTTCTCATACTTACTACAAATACATAATATAACCAAAAAAAAACGTCATGCTAAACAAACGTGAGTCGTGAATTTCAGTATGGAAAAGTTAGTAAAAAATAAGACACTAGATTTTACATAGTGAAAAAACTTGTAACAAACGTAACAAACTTAAAGTTACTTCCTTTTCCTCACCCCGTTCTTCGTGTGTCTGGACAAGCTCCATCCCCTCCCTGTTGCGAATCTGGCAATGCTAGTTGCACAGCCATGCCACGAGCGCTTGTTGCGAAACAAATGCATCCACAACGTGTCACTGTTTGGTGCGGATTTTGGGCTGGAAGCATCCTTGGACCATTCTTCTTCAGAAATGCGGCTGGTCAGGCAATAACAGTTAATGGTGTTCGCTATCGTGACATGATAATCCAGTTTTTTGTGCCTAAATTGCAAGATATGAATATAGACGACATGCGGTTTCAACAAGACGGTGCCGCATTCTATACAGCCCGAGAAACAATTCAATTCTTGCATGAGTGCATGAGTCATTTCCTGGTCGTATAATTTCTCGTTTTAGTGATCAGAATTGACCGCCCAGGTCTTGCGATTTAAGGCCGTTAGACTTCTTTGGGGTTTTTAGAAGTCTAAGGTTTATGCCAACAAGCCCACGACCACCCACGCCTCGAAAGAGGAAATTGAGCGCTGTATCAACGAAATTTAAGAGCATGTATGCAAAACGGTTATGGAAAATTTCGACAAAAGAGTACGTAGGTATGTTCCAGTAAAGTCGTGGATACCATTTACCCGATATGTTATTCCATACATAACTCTATACTGTATACTTTATGAATCGATACAAAATTTACAATTTTTAATTAAAAACCTGTTTTCTATATTGCGTGAATTTTGGAACACCCTTTATATTATAAGATTTTAATAAATTAATATCAATTCGCACAAAATTGTTTCTACATACAATCTAAAACACCTCAAATAGTACCATTTATCTTTAGGAGTCCAACAGGATGTTAAAAACTTATAAAAATCTTATACCTATGTAGACAAACAGCAAAATTTCATGAAGAAAAATTATGTACAGTCAAATTTCATGTTCACATTCTTAATACATTTTTTTAAATAAGGGTCTTATCATTCGGAATTATTTTCATTTCGCTCCAAAACTCCAAAACTGCGTGCTCAGTAATTAATTAATTTTTGGCAGCACTTATGCGAACAAATTTTTCAATTCTCAGTTACAGAAAAAATAAATATTGATCTCGTCTTACAGATGAGTATTTGACTGTCATTCTACGAATTTCACAAAATTTTTCACAAAATTAGAAACTGATGCGATTTTTTCCCATAAGCCTTCATCGACGTCGTCTGTTGTGGCTGTGGGAGCTTCATGACAACTATGTCGGAAATTTTCGAAACCTAGTCAAAAATTTCGATTTCCGTTCCACGTCTTTGACTTCATAAGGATGTCTACTAGATACCCTCGAGCATCGGCAACTACTTTTGACGAGGTTTCACTCCATGGTCTACAAACGCCTTCGTAGCTCATTGTCAGATTCGAAAGTTGAATGAAATTCTACATATGAGGGTACAACTTTAATGAACGCATACACATTGAAATGTCACATATTTGGAACAATTTCCATGAAGTACTTTAATTGTGTAGATATTTAAATTTGTTTTTGGTGAGGAAATAAATTCAGTAAAACTTTCAGGAAAATATTTGAAGATTATTATCCTGTGCAAATTTTATTTTATTTTTTTAAGCAATAACCCAAGCAAAATACCTACTTGTTTTATGGAAATTGTTTGAAATATATGATATGCCAATACATATGCGATCGTAGGTGAGAAATTTATTATTACTATACAAATTACGTGTGAATTTAAACTTCTCGAAAACGGTTAGACTTATCAAAATCAAACAAGTACCTCTCTAATAGTTTTGAGATTAACATTTTTCAAAAGTGATTTTTAACCAGTCGTTCAATGAAAAGATCTACCTTCCCCACTGTTTAGGTATCTCATATATTTGAAATAGAAAATACATAAAATAATACATTAAGGTATAATGATTTTAAGGGTCTTATAATCGTAGAAAAGTGTTTCTTTATTTCCGATATTCTGTTACGCACTTAACAATGGTATAACTTATTCTCTTTACTTATTACTGTTTATTTAAAAATATAGGAAACAGTTATAAGGTTTAATGTTATGAATTATTTTTGCCATCCTTATAATCGTTAAGAGCAATGCAGTGTTAAAATAAGCAAAATTATGCGAAAATAATAATTACCGACCACAAATATTCTTTTGAATATTGTCGTAATAAGATCCTATCTTCTGTATGACACAGATATAGACGCGAAGTAAAATTTATTTATGGTAGTTAAGAATTTTCAAAAACGAAACGTTTGCGGGCATAAATAAAAAAAGAGAGAAAACAAGTTTTAATAAACAACAAATATTTTCATTGGAATTCTATTTTATAAGGTGCTCAAAGTGTTCACAATTTACCTCCTGACAGTAATGAATTCGCTGAACAAAATTTTATAGAATCTAAAAGGGTGTTAGGAGGAATAGTGGAAATTTCATGCCTTATTCTTTCCTGCAACTCTTCGATATTTTGCAACCTATTTTTGTAGACTACGTTTTTTATGTGATCCTACAGAAAAAATGTCAAGCGGGTTCATATCCAGAGACCTAATGGTCATTCAATTGTCCCTCTGCGTCCAATCCAGTTTCATCTAGATATGCCCGTACCACACGTCCAAAATGCCCCATCATGTTGAAACCATATTTGTTCTGGCAGTAAATTGGGTTTGTTATTGTTCGGAAATAATCGTCTAAGCTCTGGAATAATATGCTTTTGCAAAATTGCACCAATAATTTATTTACTTTTACTTTTTGTGGTCGTTGGATGTGAACTTTCTCCATCGAATGAGGATTTTGGTCTGACCAATACCTACAGTTGTGTCGGTTTATGTGCCCGTTTAAACATAATGCAAATTCGTTAGAAAACAATATGTGGGTGACAAAGTTGATATCGTTTAATTTATCCATAATAACTTCGCAGAACTCGATTCTACGATCATAATCGTCTTCACTCAATTTTTGTAACAAATGAATTTTAAATAGATGTAATTTTGCCCGTTTGTAAATTTTTTGAATGGAATATCGATTCACGTTATGATTTAAAACCCTTTGTTGTGTCCAATTTATTGGATATTCGACCACATCTTACATGACATTCAAAGAATTTTCTTCAGTTGTAACGCTTACTGGTCTTCCATTCTTTCGTCGA